TTGGTTATATTCACATTGCTTTTATTAGCATGATCTCATGTACTCTCAACATCAAACTGCTAATCTTTCAGATCATCACCTTTAACCCTATCCGTTGAGGACTTCAACATAGTGCACTGTTCTTTGCATTCATAAAATTTCAGATGATGTTGCAAAATACTTATAATACCTCTTTAAGAAGTTTACCTCTTAGAACAGGCCATGTTTTCTAACGTGCATTTTATCTACTCCTTACTATGATCACAAGTGGGACATTAACAAAGTTCTTCATTAGGCACCCCTTAAGTCAGTGATGATGAACCTTTTTCTTATGGGGTACCAAAATTGTGTATGTGTGTGTGTGTGTGCTATCGCCCACATCTATTCAATCCTCATCACCCACCTGAGCATGCAATCCCCTCTGCACATGCATGAATGACACCCCCCCCCCGGCTCCGGAGGCACATGTGCTCCGGAACAGACTGGCATGCCACCAAATATGGCTCCGTGTGCCACATGTGGCATGCATGCCATAGGTTTGCTATCACAGCCTTAAGTTCAAACAGACAATAATTATTTCATTTGACTTGTCAGTCCCTTTAATAATCTTTTTTTTTTTTTAATTTCCTCTAGGGAAAAGTAACTGAAAGTTTCTCCGGAGGGCTGGTGTCGGTCATTGTGCCCTAGCAGTGAGGAACAGCGGTTAAGGTGAGCTTCTTAACGAAAGTATTTTTTATAAGCAACATATCTCAAATGTTAAATGTAACGATTTTGTCCATAACCTTACTTCTTGAATACACTACAAGGAAGATTCATTGCATCATTAATTCAGTTCTTGAACCAAACTGATAGATGTAAAAATTGGCCTATAGGTCACATGATAACTATGTGGAGTAGTCCTTGACTTAGAAACTGCTCAAAGTTAGGGTGGATATATTTAGAGACTGTTTATGACCCAGATTTGAAGGTCCAGTAGTTGCACATGCCCTCCCACAGTCAAATGATCAAATGTTGGGTACTGGCAATATGGCATCATTTTTGGGGGGGGGATGCAACGTCCCACAATCACATGACCATGGTTTATGATGATTTTGTTGAAAATTGGCTCTAAATCCCAGGTTTTTTGGGGAAACCACACCCATGCTAATCCCATTGGTTTGCTAATGACTGCAGCATTAAGTTAAGAAGTGCAGTGGTTCACTTAACAACTGCTGCAAAATCATTTTAGCACCTTTATGCCGTATGTCCAGGATGGGCAGGCTCTATTACAGTTCTAAGGCAAGTATTTACCTGTATTGATCACATAATGCAAGGTTTTGTCCTACTCCCTTCTCAATGGACTCAATATTTTCACTGCTGATTACTGAATCTACTAGTGAAGCTTCAACAATGAATACAGTAATATAGCAAGGACTATACAGAGTTTTATCCTATAGCAAACTGGCTATTAAAGAATGAGTTCTGGCTTTCAGGCAAGAAATCTGAAACATAAAATAGGGCATCCTTTTATTTTTCTTTATCTATATAGCATATATTATAATGAGGAGCAATGGAAGTATTTCCTACATATTTCGGTAATGTTAGGATAGATACATATAGTAATACTTACAATGTCTCAGTCAAAGTTGGTAATCAACCAAATTAGACCAGTTCACCCGAACCGGTAGTGGAATTCGTGGGTGTGCCGGAATTCGCGGGTGGCTCTATTTCATACTATTTAGGGACTTTTTTATCAAAACGCATGCATGGAAGGCCGAGTGCATGCGTGCACATACATTAGCAAACCAGTAGGAAAGGTAATGTTACTGTTGGCTGAGTTTAGCCTTATTTTGTGATATAGATTGCTCCCAAATATTTTCAAATTGAATTCAATGAACACTGATAAAACTGTAACTTTCATACAGGCAAAATTCTGAAGAATTTGTAAGAAAATGGAAATGAATGTAAAACTTGGAGAAACCTATAATTAGTTTAAGAGCAATCCACCTAAGAAGACTCAGTCCTGTATGCTTTCCCATGCCAAAGCTATCTTCTATGGACCTGTTTCCTATCTAGACAAAAAAAGGATGTTACTCCTTAAAAATTAATAATTATGTTCATAATGTCCATTAATATTATTGCTGTTCTTGTTTCTATTATAATACTGATAGCAGAAAGTATTGCAAGTTATCCAAAGCATTATAAAAAATAAAATGGTTCTCTCTCAGCCTAATTCTTCTTACATGGTTGCTGTGGGGAAATAGGAGGAGTAGGAGTATTATGTGTACAGATAGTCCTCGACTTACAACAATTCATTTAGTGACCATTCAAAATTACAACGGCACTGGAAAAAGGGACTTATGACCATTTTTCACACTTACAACCGTTGCAGCACCATCACAGTCACATGATCAAAATTCAGTTGCTTGGCAACTGACTCTTATTTATGACTGTTGCAATGTCCCGGGCTCGCATGATCAGCTTTGCTTCTGACAAGCAAAGTCAATGGGGAAGCCAGATTCGCTTAACAATCATGTTATTAACAAATGCAATGATTTACTTAACAACTATAGCCAGAAAAGTAGTAAAATGGGGCAAACTCACTTAACAAATGTTTCACTTAGCAATATACATTTTGGGCTCAATTGTGGTCGTAATTCGAGGACTGCCTGTATTTGCCACTTTGAATTATTCATAAAATAATAAAAGTGGTAATTAAAAAAGTAAATAAATAAATGTTTGAAATGAAGTACCGTATTTTTCGGAGTATAAGACTCTCCGAAGTATAAGATGCACCTAGCTTTTTGGGGGGGGGGACAAATCTGCCTCTGCCTCCCATCAATTTTCCTCTTTGCAGCAAACAGTAAACAGTAAGGACGATATACACTGTTTGTAGTGTTACATTTCAGACTAAACTTGTACAGCTGCTATTAAAATTGATGTGGCTTTCTGGAAGTATACATTATTTTCTGATATTTAAAAGAAGATACAATAGCACTGAGCCTCTTCAGATCAAACATTTATTTTAAAAGCTTCTTCATTTTGTTAAGTTGTCTAGAACAATAATANGCTTCTTCATTTTGTTAAGTTGTCTAGAACAATAATAAAGCAGTCTTTAAAAAATAAGTCTAATAATGTGAATATTCTATAGGCATTTATAGTTATTGACTTACCTCCTTACAACAAACAGCCTGAATAGCACAAGGAAAAAAAATCTGCCTCTGCTTCCCAGCAATTTGCTTCCTGCAGCAAACAGCAAGTTTCACTTTCCATTTCAGCCTGGGCCTCCTGATCATCAGCTGTTTCAGGCTGTAGGGATTGCCATAGCCTATTACCACCTCCCATTTTTCCCGTTTGCTGCAAGGAGGTAAATTGCTGAGAGGCCAAAGGATGGGGGTCGATGGGTGAGTAGGGTACATTCAATGTATAAACGCAACCAGGTTTTCACCCTCTTTTAGGGGGGGGGGGAAGGTGCGTCTTATACTCCAAAAAATACGGTATATAAATAAATACCTACCGTGCATGTGTTGAAACACTCAAAAATTTCAATGGGATATACTTTTTCCACACAACTGTATCAGAAATGGTATTCAGCAGGTTTTGACCAGCTCTGGAGAACCGGTAGCAGAAATTTTGAGTAGTTCAGAGAACTGGTAAATACCACTTCTGGCTGGCCCCTTCCCCATCTATTATCTGCCCCCCCAAGTCCCACTGATCAGGAAGAAATGGGGTGGGAATGGAGATTTTACAGTATTCTTTGCCTGCCACACCCACTAAGCCATGCCCACCCAGCCATGTCATGTCCACCAAGCTACGCCCACAGAACCAGTAGTACAGTTTTTTGAATCCCACCACTGAAGTGTATGTAAGGCTTTTAGAATATCCTAAAAAGTGTATGCGTAATCTTGTTTGTGGATGAGAATCATTCTGTTTTCCAAAAAGAATCATCTTCAGAACCTAGTAGGACCCACGGAGAAGGAATGTTCTTTGTTTCTTGGCTTCGGACCTTCTCTTGCTCCCTTCCCTTGCTTTCCTCGCTTCCCCAAATTTCTATGGAAAAAAACTGCTGAAAATGATATCGCTTCTTAATTCTTACCATGACTGACATAGTAGAAACTAAGCTAATCTTAAAAAATAAAAACAAGTTTTGTGTATTCTTGGCAACAATGGAAGAAGAGGTTAGCATTTGGATTTTTTTTCTCTCTCTCTTCAAGTTTAGTATCCAGCTTTTTTGTTTCTTGGTGGTGTCCTATCCAAATAGTAAGCAGATCTGACGATTACCATTTCAAAGGTCAGCCAGGGGAAGTTGTCTGCTAAGTTTCTTAGATAATAAACCCAAACAAGCCAGAAAAATAGCACCCATCTCTTCCCCAAATCACACCAACCACACCCCTTTTGCATCATCACAACCTCTGTAAACAGATAAAGTACTCACAGCAAAATCTCTTCTGCCAGACATCCTTGAGGAAACGTTGATTATAGGTTGTGTGCCAAAGCCGAGTCTTGACATGGAAAGCTGGTTCTGGGCCTAAGTCCAATCTCAAATTAGACGCTGCCTATGATGCCCGTAGGTACCATTTTAAAGCTTCCTGAGCAAGTTAACAATATTAAACCCTCTCCTGAAAGGGATGACGGCATCCTTCTGACTGGGGTGTAGCTCTGGTGCCTGCATTTATTGTCTAGATAGTGTTGGGGAAGTACAAGGCTTTGTGTTCAGTCAGTGGTTAGCCCTTCTGGAGACAAGCTGCTTGAAAGACAATTGTTGGCTATGCGCTTTAACTTCTAACTCCGCAAGTTGCAAACAACGCAGTCCAAAAATGCCTCTCTGGATCATTTCAAGCTCTCGGGGAAACATGAATGCGCTTATTAGAATTGTTTGTGAATGAGCCAATCGAGATGGCCTGGCCGCGAGGGTACAGGCAGTGTTTTCCTCCTTTCTCTCCTCCACCCTCCTCACACCAAAGGGAGGAGGGGAGAGTGAGGCAGAAGATATAAGCTCAAACAAAGCGAAGCTGTGTCTCTGAATCGCTCACATGCCCCGGATAAGTAAAGCTTGACCCTGAAAGTGAGAGGGTGAGAGAGAAAGAGAGAGAGAGAAAGAAGTGGAATTATGATCCTAACAATGGAAACGGGTAAGATTTTTACCGGGTGAGGGAAATACAAGCAAATGTGCTCATTTCAGTTGATCTCTAAAGGAAATCCGTGCCTACACCCTAATTAGTGTGTGATTGGCTTAAAGAGTATCTGTGGAGTATGTCATGTGAAATCCTTGTGGGGGACCTTCATCCCTGCAATATGCCATTTTTAATGGAGCTAGAAGTGAGATGGGAGGTATTGGCAGGCAGGCAGGAACAAATCTCTCTGATCAAGCCGTGGCTCTGATTTATTTCACAGAGAGTCATCTGTGCTAAGCATTGAGAAATTCCAAAGAAGCAGTGTGTGTAGCATAAGGGAAATTTTAACAGCACGCTGTGAAGCCTGCTGGATGTTGCAAACCCCATGATAATACAGGTTATTAGGTGGCTATGAAAACTTTTTTTTTTTAATTTAATGCTGCATACTTTTTTATTATTAAAGGAAGAGACAGTTGTAATAGCAACTTGCGTTACTAGAAACATTTCAAATGTCTTCTCCAAAACTGTGCAGAGGGTGTGTTATGAGTAAATGTTGTTCTGGTTAAATGGTCATGAAGAATTCACATTTGCTGGATGGCTGTGAACAAAGGCATAATTTTGTTCTTGCTGTAGGAGAGAGTCTTCTAAAAATGGTACTTATACTTAATGAAACGCCTTGGTTCTAATATACATGTTTCATTTTTCTTACATTTGCTTACATGACTATTGTTGCAAGTTTTACGGATTTACTTAAAAGTAAGTGCATAATGTTCAGTAGGATAACTGTAGGTAAGGTTGCAATTCTGAGCCCAGTTGCTTGGAAGCACGGCTCTCTTGAGCTTTGTCTTAAGTAACACTTAGTTTTAAATAACACATTTAAAAATTATTCGGCTAACGTTATATTTTATTGTTTTCAAGGAACCTGGAAGTTATGATCAGAAAGGGAATAGGACTGACTTTCAAAGATTAAACCAGTATGATGTAGTGGTTAAGATGTTAGATTGGCACCTTCAGCCATGGACGTTCACTTTGCGCCTGTCACTCTTGGCCCATCCTACCTGACAACATTATTGTGTGGGAAATGGGACGCTTAATGAGTTCCTGTACAAATGATAACATGATTAAGTTTAGCAAATTAATAATTATAAATAATGAAGTTTTAGTTCCTAACAGAAGCTATTAATTGCTGGTGATCTGGGTTCCAATTTGTGCCAGGTTACGTCTACCTCTACAAATTGTATTAATAAATAAAAGAAGACAGTATAGTATGATTCTTGTCATTTCTGTGAAGCTTGAATAAATTAAATTCCCTGACTTGAACTGAATCATAGAATTACTGTATGTTTGTTGAAATATCAGCATTCCTTAAACTATTAACTATTAACTGTGAAGGATTACAATTCTCCCTTAAACTATTAACTGTGAAGGATTACAATTCTCCCTTAAGATCTATTGTATTTTAATTTGGCCTGGGTATCTCTGACTTAATCACGGGAGTTTTCTTTCCTATTCTGCTCTCTGGTTATTTTTCCCCCCTTACCAATAATGATTTTAATGACAAAGCTGTTTCTTAAACTGTGGGGTGCTCTTCGCAACACAGAATCTGTTGCCCCCCTGCATTCTAAAGGAAGGGGGGAGCATTAGCCATTTTCTATTAATCTGATGGGAGAAGTGACTTAGTAGACATCACTCTGATCCCAAAGTATTAAACTGCTTACTAAAATGATGCAGACCAGATATGCATCTTTTTGTTTCCAAGAAGCATTTCCCTCTTGTTAATCTCTTCCCTGCAATTGACCCTCCCCATTTTTGTTTTTTTAGGATATTTCCCCCGCCCACCTCACTTTTTTGTTTGGAGAGTGAGGAAGTGCACCCACATTTGAAATAAAGACTAAGATTGGAAATTTTGACAGAGGAATAGGATTTGGACTTGCTGCAGACTAGGACTGTTATAACAGCTGACCTGATCCTTCTGCATTTCAAGAGCTATTTATGGTAGATTAGCTGGTATCAAAGCTCCAGTGTTCAGCCCATAAAAGGTTGGTCCTGTGTGAAGCTACCACCCTGCATTTGGCTAAAGTTCGGGAGCCTATAGTTGTCTGTGAAGGAATTCCAATGATGGATAGAAATGCTAAACCAGAGAATTGTTCTATTGAGAGTTTCAGATGCTGGACAACATTTGAAAGGAAGGTTTTTGCATTAATGTTTTGGCCCAGACTTTTAGTTCTTGGAGTATAACTTTTGCACATGAACTCTTATTCGGTGCGTACATACTATTGGAAAGTACCTTTCTAAATTCATCTGGCACTGAATCATCTTGGCCAGTCACAGATATACTTTCAGAGCACTATATGCTAGTAACTTCTTATGTGATGTGTCACTTAGACTTAAATATTTGCTTTTGAGATAATTTTTTGTTGATGCTGCAGCATCTTCTGAAGTTTAACTTAGTTCACTGGATTTAAATGTTTTAGAATAGTGGGGTTTTTTTTTCTTTTGTGAAAGTTGTTTTTTTCTGTAATTAAAAAAAAATAAGCTAGGGTTATAAAAAACAAGACCAACAAGACTTTTGAAGTAAGTAATTTCTACTTTCTTGAAATGTTTGGTAGTAAAAGTGTTCACAGCCAGTTGTTTGAGAATGTTTGAGCTTTGTCAGCTTGTTATGCGAATGAAGATTATTTTTTTTTTGTCCCAAGTTTGTGCATGTCAGTCATTCAAAATGTTTTGAATCTGTTTTCTTCTTTTTTTTGTGAGTATTGGATAAATTTCGTTATGGATGGAATGTTTTCCTCAATGCCTTTTTTGTGTGAAGTGTGTTATAATTAATGATAAATGTGTTGGCCTTTAAATACCAATGAGATACACCAGGTTAAATATAGCATGGGAGGTTAATATTTATAGTGGAAGATTTGCATGGTCTTTATTAACATTATATATATATATATTACACACACACACACACACACATACATACACACACACACACACATATATATATATACATACATACATATACATATACATACATACATATACATACATACATACATACATACATACATATTGAATAAGAACTATCCCCTCTAAACTGTTAGCAGTACACTTTAAATTTAAATTATGGTATGTTATGCTGAACTCCTTTTTCTTCTGATTTCTGAGTTGACATAATCTGGTTTAGCACAATATGCTGAATTATATTATGTTTAACCATGGCTTGGTGAATGAACCATAGTTGGTTGGGTTCATTGAGTCACAGCTTCTTAATAGTGAATTACTGAATAATTGGCTGGTTTCATAACACATTAAGCCCAAAACCATGATTCAAAGGCTATAGTAACTATGCACACGCAACATATTAAGCCCAAATTAAATAGTTTAGAGCAATTGGTAGTGACAATCAGCCATTTGTTCTCCCTCATTTGGCATTTCTGGGAAAGGAAATGAATAAAGTTTAAAAACAAAACAAAACAAGAACAGCATTTATTATGGAACATAGCCTTTAATATTCTGGCCTTTTTTTATAACCAAGTCATTCATTTCTTAGTACAAGACTGGCAGCATACACATGTGTTCATATAAATACCACATGATATCCTAACTTAATTTTGTGAATAAAAGTAAACTGTGCTCCAAGATGCCCTAAGTTCAATTTTTATTCAAACATCAAAACAGACTAGATCTCCTAGATAGGAAGATAGGGTATTATAGCACATCTGTCTCCCTCTGTTTATGTCTCTATGTTATGATTTTTTTAAAAAAAAAGACTTGTTCTGTCTTGTAGATCTGTTGTAGAGATGTGGAACAATGAGACATTTGACATACTAAATATATTGGCATGACCAGTAAACCTATTAGCTAAGTGGAAAATGAAATCAGTCCTTTGTAAAACACAGTTGCCAGAAAAGTAGTTATGGTGATAAACTACAAAACAGAATTCCTAAAAAGCCAATATTTTGAAGATGAGAATGTTGAGACACTATTATATTCACATAAACTTGTTTTATTCCAATAATCCCATGCATACCTCTATGCAGGATTGTGTGTGAAGATGGGCCTTTCTAGACAGTCCTTAGTACTCCAATAAGTTGATTGTCTTTTGCATGGATGCAAAATGAGAACTGCTTCAGTGCAGTGTAAACGGATGCTAAAGCGCAGGGATGCCAAACTCAAGACCCGCGGGCTGAATCTGGACTGCAGGATGCTTAAATTTGGTCTATTGGACCATCTTGGAAACAGTGATGCCTTTGCCAGCAAAAACAGAGCGCTCCCCCTCCTGAGCTCCGTTTTCACTGGCAGAGTGGTGGAGACCATCGAGGCTGAAAACGCGGTCCAGGAGCCTGTTTTACTAACAGAGCGCTGGTACCACCATAGGCACCGCTGAAATGAATGATGTCATGCCCCCTGGCCATGTTCCCCTTGAGGTCAAACACAACCCTGATGCATCCCTCAATGAAATCAAGTTTGACACTCCTGATATAGGGGCAGTACAACCAACATGGTTAATTTATTATTTATTTTATTTATTCGGTTTCTATAGTTGCCTCAACCGAGTGACTCTGGGTGATTTAAAATTCTAAAATGATAAATCCATTAGAAACTTTGAAAGAATAAAAACAAATATACATAGCTGCAATGAGGATTAATCAAATAATAGTAAAACTAAGTAACAGAGCCCTTAATACCTTCTGAGACCCAGGTACATAGCTTTCTCAGTCCCCTCCATCTGGCCTTGTTCATACTGTGGCTAATCAGGTATGGACATTGCCCTAAGGGGCTTCCATGCTGCTGTTTATACACAAGGCAAAAGGCATCTAGATTTTACTTTTAAAACACTCTGATTGTGAACTAATTATAGCTAAAAGTTTTTTTCATCTCTTCTTTAACCAAGTGTTCTCGTCTGTTTCAATTGGAAACATATTGTACTAATGATTTTTTATAGAAACTCTCTGAATACAGCCATCTCTCTTTTTCTTCTGAACTAACTCCCCCAATATTTATTTATGCTAACATTTTAATAC